ACAAGATCGGCATTTTAATTGTTATTGGGCACACACTTTTGTGACGTCATTATGACATCCCTCTGGCGTCATATTACGACGTAATACCGCGACGTAACTGCTTGGTAAAAGGTAGGCTGAATCCAGAGGCACTGTAAAAGCACGTGATATGCAGAAGGCTTGAGGCGAAGGGGTGGGGGTACAGTCAGAACAATCTATTGAGAAAAAAAATTGGTTTTTACTTTAGGATCGTCTTCTTAGGCAATTGCCTCAGGTATTCATGTGACTTTTTTGTGACTGTTCATTGTGAATAGCATTTTAGCATTTATTGGCATTCCCGAGCCCATCACTCTTGAGACCTCCAGACCAGCTTTGGTCGCAAGGTGATGATCCATGACAGCGATGTGATATTATACATGCACTAAGAAGAGACTGCCGATACAGGGTATATACATTGTAGCGAAGTAGTTAAGGTAGTGCGCTTATAATGCACATCTGGGAGATGCGTGGCCAATCTAGCTAAGAATGGGACATCCGCCCAACCCGTATTTTCGCGACATGAGTGAAACGGTGGTAAAACCAAATCTTCACAAAGTGCTCTACAATGCTGAACCCCGTAGTTCGTAAAGCGAGTTCTAGAAGTTACTACCCCACGGTTTATTTTGATGAGCACCAAGCGCAAACAAGCATTAGGCAGAGTCTGGTGTCAGCTATTTATTCTTCGCTGTAATATTTCTACATACACTTGCAATGCGGTGCAATTAGAGATGCTTTAACGACAACGACCAAAAATAAGTGTTCATTGTGTAGAGAGGAAGAAGATTATGTGCCGCAGTGGTCCACGACCTTAGCAAGAGGAGCCGAGTGCAAGCTGTTGGTGCTGGTACTGCGATTCTGGACTGGTGTGCGCCGCCAGCCGTTAACGTCTGTAAGTCTACTGCAGGGCTACCTGTCGCGAATCAACCCCGTTAAAATTGCTTCATTTAAGCCAATTAACATGACTGGAATCGCCGCTGTCTCTGGCACAGCAGATAAAGGGCGTATGATGCATGTTGCTATACCGCAGTCAAAACCAACACTGAAGTAAATTAGGATATAGTGGATGCTGTTTGTACTGATTCAGCTGTATTATAGCGAATTTCATGTAAATGTGGAGAATTGAAAAAAAAAGAACTTAAAGAGAACTTCCCGCCGGCAGGGACCGAATCGTCGCACGCCTCATCCGAAAGTTGCAGGTTCGTTCCCTGTCGGTTGCAAGTTATGCTTTCGTCCACTTTAACTCCTAAGTATCATATAACTAGCTCAGGCCGACCTCTCTGCCTTCTAATAAATTCTCACTCTCTCTCTAAAAAATATCATATCTGCTGCAATGCAGTTAAAACAGCACAAATAATTTCCCCAATACCTCAAGTGGCTTCATTGTTTCTTTATAAAGGCTGTATCTAACAAAGAAAAAACAAGCCCTTGAATTCCCCGCCTTTCGTTTATACCACACCACGTCGTCTTTGAAACCTTGGTTTTGTCGCAACAAACGCAACGGTAAGCTGACTCTCGGCAACAGTAGCTGTTGAGCGATGCAAGACCTCTCTGCCACGCAACAATGTCATATTACAGTCGCCGCACGCTATTGGCGGAGAATACGAGGGAAGGTGCCAACTAATATTCCCTGTTCAGTGAGAGCTCCAGACAACAATAGCAACCGCCCCATACCGCAACGCATACCATTGTCGCCGCTAAACATGATGTTTACGGTCCATTCACATCCCGAGATTAAGAAGAGTCCCCTATCTTGGCTGGCTTGTGTGAGCGCACAGCACCGCTGCGGCGCTTATCAGTGCGGAAGCAGATCGTTTCTGAGTACAGGCGCAGCTTGTACAGCATGCAGTACTACGAATTGGATCTTTATTTTATATGGTACTGCGGCGTGCTGCATTGCAACGTTTGAATTGTGGAGTAGTTGCGTGCGACTTCGAGAATGTTTTTATTGCTCGCAAAAATAGAACGTCATCTAAAAATTGGCTTCAACTGGGAACTTGCAGTCGACGTGCGCGATTTTTCGTCTCTTACATTTACGACGAGGATCTCAAACTCACCTCAGCTAACGGGCCGCAGTAACAAAATTTAGTTCCGCCAAGGGCCGGGCAGTGAAGAAGGTTGAGTCAGGGGAGTGGGGTAAGGCTGGTCTCGAAGCTGTCAGCTGAGGCTTCCATGCCTAAAACAAGGCCTTTCCTACACACATGGGTCACTTCTGAAATGGAGTTCGCTAGAACATTCGAGATAGAGACATGGCAATCGATATCTATTGCCAGAATAAATAACATATGGATGCTGATTCTGAAAAATAATAAACGGCTTTTGTTCTATATTGATGTTTGAACACACGGTGACCACATAGAGTAAAAAATTCCTACAGACCACTTACGTCAGTGTTGCTCATGGACATACTTATCAAGGAAACAAAAATGAAATGAAGACAGTCATGTGCGGGTCGTGTCATTAGCGAAAGGTACGCAAGCCGCATGTTTGAAACCCCTGGCTTATGGCGTGAATCGTAAATTTTGTAAATAGAATTTAGCAGTTTAGAAAAAAAGAATGATTTCAATCCGCTGTGAAGTGCGTTTGCATGAGTGCAATCCAAAGTGGCAGTGTATACGATGCTATTGCAATGCCTACTTACATGACGATCAATAACAAGCTATGTGTCATCATGGTTCATGGACCTAAAATTACGGGTGCATGACGGGACGCGACACGAAATCACATAACTTTAGCTTGTTTACTCTTAAGCATCGCATGGCTTACGCGTACGGAGTCCCTCTCTAAATATATCGAATCAGCCACAGAAATAGTGACTGTTGGACATTGTATGCTACACAAGTGAGAAAACTAAAACACAATACAGGCAGAATGGTCACGGACATCAAGAGCGCATGAACTTCATCATTATAGAGAAGAGCTGCACGTAGCGTTACGATACGTCGTCTCTTCAGCTATGACGCGAAGAGGAACTGGGACATCAGATGGTGATCGAGTGCTTGGGAAAAGTGCTCGCGTTAATATCGTGACCATTGCAAGGAAGGGACATGTGGCGCGAGTTGTGTATAATGTCACCCTGGGTTGCAATAGCTTGCAGGAAGAACTATGATAGCGCAATAAGAGAATAAAGAAAGAAATCGAAAACCCAGAGAGTGTTTAGCATGTATACATCTGTAGTATATCGAGAACGCAGGATCGGTGGGCGGGAAACAAAAATTATTGAGATGCTCGCAATTAAAAAGGCGCAGAGAAGTCTGCCACGTGGATATAGTTCACTGCGGTCTCGAAAGTGCATACTTCACGGCCGCTCTTCGTGAAACACTGAGAGGACACGTGCACCAGTGGTGTTAGGCCCACGCACTTGGCCGTTGCTTGTATATGTCTGGGACTTTCTGAGTTCCAAACAATAGCATTCAGTTGATCTGTTTTGCACATGAGAGGATGATACTGCACAATATCTATATGTCAAAAATATTTTCCATACTCTTACTGCATTTATCGGCTTCCGCACGTCAGCGAATAAGTGAACGGGTGCTCTTCTCTAAGTGAAACGGCTTCCAAACAGCCGTGGTGTGCATGGAAAAAGGCGAGAGACGAGAGTGTCTAAAGTAGTATTGAAGTAGGCACATAATCTGTGTAACTGCATAAGCGGTGATATCGATATATTATGTACTTATATATAGTAAACGACGCTGCAGTAAGAACATACGCCGTGACGCAGTAATCTGTACGGAGATTGCTAGTGCGGTATTGAACAAGATTTCATTGAGGTCGACAGACGCAGACGATTAGCACTGCACCTGTTATTCTCACTTCTTCCCGTCTGAAGGTCTGTTAGATTTTGCGCCATCATATTGAGACCCAACACTGCGAAATGGTTGCGACGACGAATGCGTACCTTCGCACGGAGGCCACAATAGGCTTTATTCTGTTTCATTTTCTTTATCAAGCGTGTTTTATCTCGCTCCCACGTATGCCCTCTAATTCTTCGACGCAACTGCGCAAACACACAACTGCGACGTTTGTGTGGTGGCGCTGCAAATGTGATAACTGATAAGTTACTGATTGTGTCCCCAGCCATAGCCACAGAACGCCTTGTCACTGATTAACATGCGCCCTGCCGTTGCATCATTTTGACCATGTGGCAAGTGCTATACTGTACGTTTCCCCCTCGTCTCAAGACATTCCCTTCGGTCAGTCATAACTGATGAACGTTGCCGAGGGGAAGAAACTCTGCCTCAATTGAAATCAATTGCATTGGAGTAGCGTGGCCCTCAATCTGAGGCTTACACTGATCGACTCACTGCGACCACTTTCGCATTGAATAAGCAGTGAAATGCCGCCCCCACGGGAGGTTTTAGCACGAAAGGCACCAATGCATGGCTAGGGCAAATAATTGTCGTGAGCAGTTGTCCGACACCACCGCATGCAACACAAAACACCCTAGCAAGCAACTTCCCACGGCTTCCACCTTCTTGCTCAAAGCAAAAGCAGCAGGTGTCACAGATCACACGGTCACTCGTTGCAGTAAGACCTCAGTGAATCACGGCAGGTAAAGCGGGGCTCGCACTTGGTAATCATAGCATTTTGATGAGATGTCCGTTAGCACGGGGTTTTACAAGCGGCTCCATTTAGAGTGGCTTTTAGGGCCAGTGCAACTTGGGCTATCTGCTTTTCCTCACGCCCTAATCTCTCTCGGACTGTGGACTTGAGAGGCTCTAATGGTGCAGAGAGTGATGAGCATGTTCAGAAAAATTAGACAATATACTTAACATTAAATATATATACGAAAGTTACAGCCAAAGCGATGACAATGCTGGGGTAACCTTTATAAATTACACCAAAACGTTAAGACTGCTATAGTGGGTCACTTATACAAAGGTTCCATTCAACCACTCTGATAAAGTTATGAGAATCTTTATTATAGATGTTTCATAGTGATTCAGCCGCGTTTCAAGTCATTTCTCTCTGTTTTCTCTGTTCAGGTTCACTCGTCGCGCTCATTGCCGGGCAGATCTTCTGACTTAATTGTGAGTCATGGCTTCTCTCCGCAGCGTCAAAGAAGCCATGAGAATGTCTCCAGCACCGAGAGTTCAAATGTCCACGTTCAGGTGAGCGATTACAAAGAAGTATATATGTGCTCTTCTTTATTTTTTCCCTTTTTTTTATTACGGGTCAGTTGTAGCTCAGTTTATTTAGCGCGTCAACTTGACCTCACTGAAACAAAAGCTAGATCAAATTTTCCACCGAGTCTTCTAAATGCGAATTACGTTTGCACTTGCATATATATAACGAAATATGGACTTGCAGAAGAATATACATATATTTTAGATACACCAGTAATTTTTATAGTCAGTACTATTGTATTTCAAAATAATCAAAACCTGCCAATGTTCATTGGCTTTCTTGAATTCATCTTTCACGCACAGTGCAATGTCAGATAACTGTTATTTCCGTTTTCTTTTTTCAGATATCGGACATTGCTGGCGACGAAGATATTGTAGCAACGACGTACTTTCTGAAGATATGCAAGTCAACTATATTGAAGCCGTACTCCGTCATTTTGCAATTGGTAAGACACCAACCCGCCACGGTGGTCTAGTGGCTAAGGCACTCGGCTGCTGACCCGCAGGTCGTGGTATTGAACCCCGACCATGGCGGTCACATTTTCGATGGAGGCAGAAATTCTTGAAGCCCGTGTGCTTATTATTAGGTGCACGTTAAAGAATCCCAGATAGTCGAAACTTGCGGAGCCCTCCGCTATGGAGTCTCTCAATGAAGGATGATGGTTTTTGAACGTTAAACCCCAACAATTATTAGGAAGGCACCACTGGAAACACAAATTAATAATTTTATTGAAGTACCCTAATGCCGGAATGAAGCAGTGGTTGCCCCAGTTGCCAACAGACATTATAATCAACTAAGGTTTAAGGAACGTCTATATAGGTTCAGACCATGCAACTTAAAATAATTAATGCAGAACAGCTATCGTCACAGAATTTCCTAGACTCGCTTTTCGAGGTTTTCCAGATGCTGTAAACTTATCGTCATAGTGCTTCATCGCATCGTTGAACAACATACATCGATCATACACGTAGCCAAAGCGGTCGTGTAGGTACAACACAAACACACACAGACTACAACGACAGCAACGCTGAAATTATTTATGTCCACGTGTGCCCTGTTTTATTGTAGACTTCTCGCAGGTAGCATGGCGGAAGTTTCGCAAGGACAACCCCACGCGTCACCACCTGTCCTGGAGGTTCATGAACGTCTTGTACCCAGGCGTTGTCCTGACTCTACTGCTTTTTTATGCGGCTCTTCAGGGATTGGCCTGCCCTGGACGTCTAGAGTTCAAAACAACGCAAGCGGTAAGTTTTGCTAAATCTCAGATTCTTTAGAGAAACTATAAACTGCAATGGATCAGGCATGGATAATTACTATAAGGAATCATAGTTCTCATGCGTTTAAACTGGGAATCGCTGCGGACTCAAGTGCCTTTTTTTCGCAGAATATTCAAGATAGAAAAAAATATCTAGCATTATACAAGCTGGCTTCAATACAAAGAGTCAGCGATCCAAACACTTCAGGGTCATCAGAGATAAGCAATTAGCTGTGAGTAGTGGTGGGTGAACAGTGAATTTTATAACAAATTGAATAGTGATAACACCGAATAAAATACAAATACAAACCGAATACTGTCCCCATAGTTTTTGAATAGTCAAACAACCATTGTAGATGTTTTGCAGTGGTCTCTCAGGCAACTTGCGAGAGCGGAGCTCCAGGTCTGCTTGGGGATCTCAGCAGCCTCCACCAAATGTGATGACGTTTATTGAACCGGAGAAGTCGCAACGATGTCGCAACAAAAAATGGCCGTACGACAAGTCTGGCAAAGGCGGCCCAGGTTCTCGTGCAATCAGAGCACGGGGTTTTTTCTTCTCTTCGGAAGGCGCATACACGTTAGTGCGTATGCTCCACTACAATACATTCAAGCTGAAAACGTTAAGGTTGCCATTATTATGCACGCACTTAACCTGTTCCTCATTATTTCTTCTTGGCGTCCCATCTCAAAAAAAGGGGGGGGGGGATGAAAGGCCTTTACTGATGAAAGCTACGCCATAGTAGGCATCTCTATCACCTACGGATAGCGTCGGTGTCAAAGAGCACAGGCCATCCTAATGTTTACGTCGGGCCGCGGCCGTGAGTTATGAACTTTTGAAGAGGCCGTGCTCTACATACACGCGCATCATAGCGTTTCCATCGGGACACCACTCTCGCCATGCACTGTAAATCGAAAGTGATGTAACTAACTGCCCTCCTTCTCAATGACATCGCCTTAATCGGGAAGTCTGCATGGAGTTCTGCAACCGTGTGTGGCTCAAAAACATTTTTCTTCCACCCTTTGACCCTGCATAACCAATATAAGTTTTAAAAACTTGATGTTGCACGATTCGCCAGGCTGAGTGTGCCTGAAGCTTCAGTAGCTGCGCGTGAAACTGTGGGTCTATGTCATTTCCACTTCAAAGAAATGTTTATTCGTTTCCCATAGGCTCATAGAATAGGGACCAGATCAAAATTGTTGCTGCAGTATTCAACTCTTGTACAAAAACTACGCTGATAAACGTTTTACGCCCTCCTTGCCGGAGGTCTTGCGCCGAGTCTAGCCACTGTATGTGCTGGTGGCTGCGGAATCTGCAGCAACGGTTTTGTTATCGTCTTGTGGTTTTCGCCAAATAATATAAAAGGAACCTATTATCTAAGCAGTTTATAAGGACAGCCGTGACTTTTCTGAACGTACACATTATTTTCATTACCTAATAGGTTATCAACTGCAAACGTCAATACCCAAAAAAATTTATATGAGCAAACACAACATGACCTCAATGAGGAGGTTAGTCACCCACCCGACTTAATTAATCAACACGTTTAAGGAGCCTTGAGATAAAAACTGATTGCGAAACTCGACGTAACTGCGTGTTGTTATGCCCGAGGCGTGATCCTCGTTTGAGAGCGCTTCTTCCCACGCGAACGAGCACAGTTCCAACGAACTCCCCCCCCCCCCCCCCTCCCATCTCTACATTCCACGCAGGCGCCGCCGAACCACGTGTAGTTCCGGGGAAAGCTGCGCCTCCTCTGCCGAGCCCCGGGAACTGGTCTCATGGAAAATACCAAAACGTTCTTTAAGGCCGTGCCGGCCCGATGTTTGAGAATTTTTCCCCCAGCCGATGTGGTCGTCCTAGACGGCTCTATGCAAACGATAAGCTTCTGCCATAAACGTTACTACCTGTTCTAACGCGATAGCGTTAGAGAGCTCGTGTCGCAGCAATTGCGTAGTCGGCGTCGGCCCCGTTGGTTGTGAGCGAAAAATCCTCCGTGAGCGAAAAATCAAGAAAGAAGCAAACAGAACAAAGAACAAAATTTTCGGTCTTATTGAAGATCGAATTCATGCCGTTCGCGTGGCAAGCAGGTGTCTTACTACAAAGCCACGGTGTTACTTGCAGTTTCTTCGGGGAAAGAACACTACATAAATGTCACGTAGTGGAAGGAGTCTCCTTAACGCAATTTGTTCGACGGGTGTCACGACGAAAACAAGTACATTTGGCGATTTGTAGGAGCATTCGAGGGGCCATCAAACTATGTAGAAAAAGGTCGGGATAGTGGATCCATCGCCGCTTAAAACACACAGGACTTTCAAACAGCTCCGAAAATGGACAACTATGTCAATCTAGCGCAAAACATATCATGGGTTTGCAGAGGCGTCGATTAAGCAACCAACAAACGCTAGATAATGTGCTGCCATCTGTGAGGTATTGTGGGACTCTTTATCGCCTCCAATATGGCAAGCGTGCTGCGCGTATCTTGGAGGCCATGCAACTCTTGCTTTAGATAACAAAACATGTATGTACCATTCGCGCGCACGTGCGCTGGTACAATCTGCTCTCTCTCTCTGTGTGTGTGTGTGTGTGTGTGTGTGTGTGTGTGTGTGTGTGGTGTGTGTGTGTGTGTGTGTGTGTGTGTGTGTGTGTGTGTGTGTGTGTGTGTGTGTGTGGTGTGTGTGTGTGTGTGTGTGTGTGTGTGTGTGTGTGTGTGTGTGTGTGTGTGTGTGTGTGTGTGTGTGTGTGTGTGTGTGTGTGTGTGTGTGTTGGGGGGGCGGCAAAATTTACCTTAGAAGTGGTGACCTCTTTGGATGAAAACGTCGTCCCCTGTTTCCCTATAGGCCTGGCGTCTAGGGATGATTGCCTCCCTATTTCGCCTGTAGGCGAAGGCTTCAGCTACGTCCGTTCGGCTGCTCACCGCTCTCGGCTACCGCTACCATCGCGCCACAGCGAATTCCTAACAGTAGTGGCAGCGGTGGGATGCCACCGAACCCGAATTCCTAAACGTAGTGGCAGCGGTGGGATGCCATCAAATCTGAAGTCCTAACAGTGTGCGATTACTGTACCCGATCGGTCATCTACCGCATAAAACTGTTCACATCGCCGTGTCCCTTGCCTCCGCATGCCATGAACGATTTGGAATCCAAGACGCGAACTTGTCTGGCCTTCCTCTTTTTTTTTCTTACTCCTGTTACGTTTTTTGCCACGAGAATTTACGTGATGAAGGGAAGATGAGCTTGTTTTTAACGGCTACCCCACAATTAAGACAGGATCTTCTTCTGCAGACTCGCATTCCAGTCCCGACATACAGTAAGCTTGAGCCTTGCCGCGGTGGTCTAGTGGCTAAGGTGCGCGGCTGCTTGCCCGCAGGTAGCGGGATTGAATCCCGGCTGCGGTGGCTGCATTTTCGATGAAGGCGAAAATGCTGTAGGTTCTTGTGCTCAGATTTGGGTGCACATTAAAGAATTCCAGGTGGTCCAAATTTCCAGAGCCCTCCACTGTGGCGTCTCTCATAATCATATGGTGGTTTTGAGACGTTAAGCCCCACGTACATAACAGTCAATCATTTACTGTATTTTTTGTACTTCCTGGACTCTGTAGGCCTTCTATATTTCTTTGTAGAAGCTGACACTTGCCATTTAAAGGATGTAAAAGTAGAGATTGGAAACCTTTCTGCATGATAAAACTCGTCGCTATTTCTTTGTCGTTCTTCAGCATTGCTCTCTCTCTTGTTTCATTTTGTGCAGTCGACTCTCCGGAACGCGACCAGACCCACGCCAAGAAATGTGACCCCGACACCTGTATACTATTACTGGGAGGAATATGACGACTACACAACCGTGAGTAGACGTAGCTTGCTTGCCACGACTTTCTTTGTTTCCTAGAACGCTGAAAACTTCGTTTGGATGCCTTAATTGACAGTGACTTGTGCTAACAAGTCGGTGTGCCCAGAAATGTCATGCCTTTCACAACGCTTGTATGTTGATCCGCCGATACCTCTTAAGCCGTCACCCAGACCAAAACGTTGCTAGTGGATCGCTTCCTTCCTGAATTCGTCGTCGCGGCTACAGTCTCGTTTGACTGGAACGCCCTCGTTGCTGAAGCTAAACACAGACTCTGTTTTGGTATGCGTACGCTAATAGTATCAAGACAGGCCCACAGCCAGAGTAGGGAGGGGGGGGGGGCGTGCTTAAGGGCTTTACTAACCTTTCCGCGATTATGACGCAGGGGGTGTTCTCCCAAAAAGAAGTAAAGAAAATAGGTGTTTTTCTAAAATGCCAAGGTCTTAAACAAGTGCCCTAACCCTGAAAAAAAATCCTTGCTACGGGCTTGCATGAAGGACATCTGGACAGTCCACAGTAAGCCTTCTTCTTGAAAAACAAGGGTTCAGTTTGGTCTAGTTAGTATACCAGTTTCAACAAACAGCGCAGGAGCAGACAACTAGACCAGGAAAAGAACAAACACAAGCAGTGACTTCCAAATGATGACTTATAAAAAACGCAGATGCACATATGCCGGTGTACTACAACACGTCACCACTCGAAAACAGTCACGCATAACAATCGTTAAGAGGTTAAATAGCAAAATCTTATACGGCGTAACAGAGTACACGATATGAAAAAACACGAGAAGAAGCAACAAAAAGCATGTTAAAGATGTGTACCATGGTTTAGGCATGATTTACGCCGTCAATAAATGCCATTTATTTTGGAGTCAAGAGAACTGAGCGCTTGCTGACACAGTGGCTCTTTGAAATAATCTAGGCTTCAATAATCACTCGTGTCTGATTATTCAGACGCTTTGCCAGGGCAGCAGTTTGGTAAAATACGGGAGTGCAGCCGCACTGAGCCCAGTGCTGAGCAAGCCAATCGTCGTTTTTTTTTTCTGCATCTTTAAACTGGGTTCATGACTTCATGTAACCTGATAATCAAGCATCGCTCTCTTTGACCAATATATTTGAGACCGAAGGAAAGTGGAACATTGTACACAACTTTGTGAGCACATTAATCAAAAGGGTTTTTATGTTTTCCCCCTGTACTTGCGCTGTGTCTGCTTTACTGGACATGTGATATACATAACTCAAGCAACTTCGTGCTGCGCAAAAAAAATAAAAAAAAGCCCAAGCGTATGGGCTTATCTTCTTGAGTCTAGCGACACTCGGTATACGTAAGGTGTGACTGCCACTGTCTATCTCAATACAGGGTGCTGGGGGAGGTGCTCTGTATGCTGAGAACTAGTGGACGATTTCTGTAGGATTAGAAAAAACATATACCAAGATGATACAAGTGAAGCTACAAGATATTCGTCAAGAATGCTACGAAAGGATGCTGTGTTGCTCAGGCAAGCTTACGACACGTGCGCGTATCCTCTGAAGTGGCTATAATTCTCAAAAAGATAATGCAGATTGACATGAAAGTGGCGCATTTTTTAATGTCCATGTATTGTGAACAAAGCCAATGTCGTATTACATGACTGAATTATTTCAGCGCATAAGCCACACACGTAAGCTTTAGCGACCGCGGCTTATGCGCACGCAAAAAATGTTACCACTATAGTGTTATTTTGTAGGACCCTCTCCTCAGAATACTTAGAGGCAATTTGAACATATGACCTTAAAGGGCCCCTAAGCCACCTGCGATGATATTTTTTTTGCAAAATGCCAAAAAAATTATCGCCATCAACAATGCAATCAATGTCGCCATCATCAATACCAAACGTGGCAGCACTAGGAGCCGCGGGCGCCCCACAAATTTTAATAAACAACCTCTTCTCCTCTGATCATGACGTTAACATTTTTCTCTGTTCATGTCATCCACAATCTAGACGCACAGTCTCAAAAACGTTGAAAAATTTTGAAAGGGAATAGGTCAGCCAATCACGATGAATAACATATCATTAGTGAAGCCAGTTGATCATTGGGGAAAAAATCACTTACGGAGTAGAAGTTTTGTAAATTAGACCTCTGTTTGCACGCCGGTACGCGCGCTCATTCCTATTTTTCCTCGCAAGGCGACTATAAACGTGCGAGGGCATCTTTTGTATCATCAACCGAGTGTAAACCCGCTATTACGGCACCGTCTCAAATGATTTTTACGGCTGCGTGTTCATTACAAAATCGAACACAACTGCAATGAACGCAACCAAATTTTGACCTTTGGATGGTTTAGGGGCCCTGGACTGAGGAGGAACATACCGTTCTTACCGATGAGAGGTGGTTGAGGATGCACGTGTTTCTGTTATGCAAAAGGCTAAAAAAATTTTTTACGTGGAGGAATGCGAGATTTTATTGCAGGGCGTGATGGGGGAGCAGACGCAGAACTACGAGTCAGAGTTTCTGGGCGACCTGCCGCTGTGCCAGCACCGGCTCACCCTGTACATCCTGCCCAGCCTGCTGCAGGTGATCGCCTTCCTCTACGGCTCCTATATGTTTCGAATCATAGGGGTCGACGAGGAGCTGTACGCCATCATGGAAAAGGTCAGTCGACGTTTTCAGATTGCGTCACCTGCTTGCGAGACTCGGCGCGAGAGCACTTCAGCACTGTACTGAGCTTGCTTCGGATTTTCACAGCAAGCGTGATATGCGAGCAAGATCCTTGCATATCACGTACGCAGATAACAGGCGCGAGCAACAAATTTTTTCGTACAACTGATCAACTCGACTCGTGTATTGTTTTTGCGTCAAGAAAATAGACTCTGACACAAAATTAAACGTAGATTTTCATTATTTCGACGACATGGCATAGTGACGCAGTGAACAATTTTGCTTCGACGATAAGACCACTTGCAGAAAAAACGGACACTATGCCATTTTTGTACTTTCGAAACAACATGGCAATCTATGTACTACATGATTTCATTGTGAGGCGGCCGTCCGACACCGTTTGTGAGATAATATGCGTCATGCTCAAAAGAAACAGTGGGATATCAGAGTACACGTCTTCCTATTCAGTCAACATAGTCAGTTATTGTAATGATAGAATTCACTACAACATTATTCACTATACCAGATCCACCAGAGGCGGAGCTTCAAGCGTTTCCATCCTCACAGTGGAAGTTCTTTGAATTTTTCGTCGTCATTTGTGCATAGGTGAGAGAATCGTGAAACGACGCCCAGGATCACGCTGGTAGAGTGATTTGTCGTACATTTCGGTACGTTCTTTTATTCGTCCTCGCTTATCATTGATTTTGTTTCGTGTTTTTTTTAATAGGAGTACAATGTTCATATGGGATTCTTAATTGACTCAGCCGTATATGCATACTATACACGATGGGCACTGCGCGTCCATGTGGACCGCGCCCTGCTGGTCGCTGAACATCGCATGACGTTTGACATTTCGCAACAAAGGCGTAAGTTTGCGCAACTTTTCTCTGGTACAGGAAGATCAGGCCAGCCGAATACACTGGATACGAGTATAAGTTCGATGCTAACGACAAGTTTATCCCGCCGCAAGCGCCAGTCAGGCATATTTGGGAACTATACTGGAACTATCACGAGACTATCCGGGGTTTTATTTGTTAAGGCATTTAGACATTTCATGATATATGACATAAGTCTGAGAAAGCAATAATAAATATCGCGTGAAAATCACATACTGCGTGCCTGGCCGCGGCTCTGAATTTCAGTACACAGTATAACACTGTCTATCGCCATCAGGAAGGCTGTTGGCATTGCTATATTCGCACTAGATACGGTCGCCTGAGAACTGCCTTAGTTATGCAAGGAACACGTGGCAGCTCAGCTAAAACGAGGAAATGGCGCATCGCTATCACAACATAGTTAGATTCATAGTACCGAACTTTTCACCATGGGAATCCGTGTTGCTGCTAGTTAGGAACTTTGCTTAACTAGCTGCTGAACTGTCACGCGCTGGGTATTCAAGTTTAATGTTTTGAAGAAGAACGACTATTTGGGCTAGTTGGTTGGAATTCGTAGTAATAACGGCTGCAGCGCGAGCACGAAGGTGCTAGAAGAAACGTGAAACGAAAGCTCACCTTTCGTTTCACGTTTCTTCTAGCACCTTCGTGCTCGCGCTGCAGCCCTTATTACCATGGTTTAATGTTATTCCATCATACGACAGAAGTATAGCGCACTGAGTGAGCTGGTGCCTGTTTATAATAACTGCGGAGAATTATTCCTAACGTTTCGCGCTTGCCTGTAATGTTTGGTGTCGTATTTGTGTCGTTGTCAAGTTTATATGTGCCAATACTTATTTGGACGGGTCGCAGGCCTCACTCACTTCACAGGCAGTCATCTGACAGAAAAAATACGGGTCGATTTTGAAGGCACGACCCGAGTGTAACTTGCGGCGTTTGAAAGCACGCTCTGTCGCGAAGGGAGAATGCAAGAAAGTGAAGCGTGCGCCAGACATTTGAAAGAAGCTACTTTGGCACGAGAGAAGCGCATATATGTAGTACGTGCGATCTAGGCCTAATTTTATTATACTTTTGGTGAAAATGCTGGCATTCTGGCCATAAAGTTAATGTTATAGCACCACTGTGCATCTCTGCATGTATCACGCATAAGAATGGTCGTGTCACACAAAAAAAAAAATCGGCAGATCCCACGTACCTAGCAATCGACGTTATGCGAAACATGCTGATAGAAAGTGACCGTGTTGCAAATTTTTTATCAAGCAACACGTCATGAACTGACGCTAAAGATAAGTACAAATGTTGCACGCACACAGATGTGTTGAAGAGTTGGAGATGTTTATATAACTAGCTGTTTGCACTTGCACAATGATGCCAACTGTAGCATGCGCATTATATAGCAGCACCAGAAGGTGATATGAAGCGCTGATGCTCGCCAAGATGGACACTGCTAAATAAATCAACTTCAGTGCATGGCAACTAACCATCATTGATGCAACCCGATGTGATGGCTGTATCAAATGAGTACATAAATAATGTTTATGTAATTGGATAGCCAGCACGGCAACCACTATTGACGTTTCACGAAGATCAGCATCTATTTTAAAAGTATTTCCGAGACCTCGCGTAGCTCTTCATTACCACGCAGAATGCTTGGGTTTGATTCCAGCTGGGACCTTGACATTTATTCTTTGCATTCGTCGGGTCGACGGTACAGATGTCGGGTATTTCTTAGCGCTCGCACGTTAAAATTGCCCATGTGTGTTCTCGTCGTTCCTAGGTGGATACCAATCCTCGTATTCCGAAACGCTTCTTGACTTGAGCTTGACTTCAAACCGCCTTCAATGCAGCGCATTTGAAACGCGTCTGTGCGTTTGTGCTGCCTTGGCACCGCCTAAAGACAGCGCTTTCGAAATGCGTTTGTGCTGCATTGAAGTCGGTAGGAAGTCAATTGTTCAAACCAAGCAGTGTTTCTGAATACGGGGGTAAGTGTCTATCACCTGTGGCACATACTCGCATACCAGCGGCACATACCCGCCCGTGGGTATGTGCCACTGTCTGGCGGGAAGTGTGACGACGTACGCGACGGGATTGTGACATTAGAGCTTTTTAGCAAACCACGAAAACACGTTACAAAAATACGGCACGGCTCCTTTCCGTATGCGCGTACAATGGCTGCGCATGCGCACACATCAGCGAGTTCCGAATTGCTGCCTTTCCGTTACCTGTCTTTGTAGCTTGATAAAAACCTCCATTATTTACGAAAAGTTAATTCGAGCGCGAAAACTTGACCCGATCACTCACACACGCACACACCCATGCATCAAACACACTCTATTATTTATGTCTTGACCAGCGCGTCATATTCGTCCAATCATCTTACCCTCCCATGCTAGATAGATAGATAGATAGATAGATATAGATAATAGATAGATAGATAGATAGATAGATAGATAGATAGATAGAATAGATAGATAGGATAGACTAGATAGATAGATAGATAGATAGATAGAAGACATAGATAGATAGATAGATAGATAGATAGAATAGATAGACTATATCGATAGATAGATAGATAGATAGATAGATAGACAGACATACGCTAGATAAGATAGATAGATAGATAGATAGACAGACAGCAGATAGATAGATAGATAGATAGATAGATAGATAGATAGATAGATAGATAGATAGATAGATAGATAGATAGATAGATAGATAGATAGAAGATAGATAGATAGATAGATAGATAGATAGATATGATAGATAGATAGATAGATAGATAGATAGATATACAGATACGATAGATAGATAGATAGATAGATGATAGATATATAGATAGATAGATAGATAGATAGATAGATAGATAGATAGATAGATAGATAGATAGATATAGAGATAGATAGATAGATACGCTCAAAGTCGAATAAGTTCGCTAAGAAATTCTTCGTATTCAACATGTTTCGAGTGGTTACCACGCGTACAAAGTGCAGTGGGTATGAAACAGTTCTAAAATGTACACGCCCGATACATGGAGGTTACCGTTACAGTTCAGGATTCGCACTTTTCTATTATGTACTCTGCATCGTCGCTTGTGTTATCGACTGGCTCTACTAGGGTAAAACTGACAATACAAGGTGAAGGCAGGAACGAATACGAAAGGCTGCCATGTTAACCAGACTAAAACCTGCTTAGTCGCAGGGGGGGGGGGGGGGGCAGGGCATGAGTTGAGCTATTTTCACGTATATTCGCATGCATATTACAAGCGTAGACACGCACATACATAAATTATGCTCCCTCTCTTACGCCTCCCACCCCTCAAACAATTCTGGCAATGTCCCTGCTGTATAGAGTAGCCGGTATGATATCCTACGCTTAGGAACTTGAGTGATCTGCACACAAAAAATAGCTTATGGTCTAGTGGTTAAAGAATGAGGTCGCTTTGAGCTAAGTATGTAGTTGCGCTAAGCAAAATGCGCAGACGAGTAACCAAACAAGAGCACATGACTGGTAGGGCTCTTCTTGTTTGGTAAATCGTAATTCAATAAAAGAATAAAAGAAAATGCGTAATTCAATAAAACTTTACATTTATTTCACTTCAGAAAAACTGACATCACCGTCTCAGCAGGGCATTTCAAGGGGGTCACGCATATTTAGAGCAGCTCAGGGGAGATGATTGTGGTGCCTAGGAAGCAAGTACGCGCAGGAAGGTATAAAATGGCGGAGAGACGACGAGAGAGGTAGAAATCGGGGACACGGTTATCCTGCCCTCTTTTGGGCAGTGGTAGCTAAGGTAACCTGACATAAGGGGCACACTCAACAGCAACTTGACAAAAGAGGTGAACGACAAGCATTGAAGGAAGCGGCAGAAGCTAAAACAGGCTTTGAGTGGGAGGGCGATAGCCCATATCGTTTCTCTCCCCATCCCTTTCTGGATCCGCCACTGCAGCATTCAAATACTTATTCATAGCTGCACTATTGTTCATTGTTTGCTCCTGCTCTCTTCAAGGCATCTTTCATCTACCGTTTATTTTTAAAATGCCGTTGATTATAGGTGATTTATTTCTTGCAATGAATCGAATACAGTTAAGATATGAATACAATTATAGGGCACATTAAGACGTACAGGCGGGCTATTTGGTAAGGAACAAGACAGATAATGGTCTGACAGAGCCGGCAGCAATGCGGGGCATGGTGGAGGGGTCTAGACATATAGTTCATCTAGGCAAACAGATCCATAGTTAGCCCCGCCCCCTTCCTATATCTCTCCTCGTAAATGGGAAACATACGCCTCTGGCTTGAGGTTTGGAAAGATGTTTATTTCTGCAACCCCTAAGCGAGCATGCTGAAGCATCCGGGATCTGGAACAGACTGGAAGCACTATGATTAGGTTGACTATCGCCTCGGACAGGGCAGAAAACAATACAGGCTGAAAAAAAGGCCGAGACCCTCTATGTAAGAGCGGCTGCACCGTACTAAGGTCAAGGAGCGGCGGCGATGTGACTTCTCGCGAGCAACAGGCGAAGCCTTGACGAAGGGCACTGTTTACGTTTAGTGCAGCGACATTATCGGTCGCGCGATAATCGTTCCCCTACTGCGGCCGAGGTCACTGGCAGGGAAAAATCATATAGTACACGAAAATGAATGCTCGTTTTCCGCATGTTTTCTTTCGTATATGGTAAGCTTTTTCCCCCTACCTAGACGGCGTATTTGTTTTAACGATAACGCAATGTAAGGCGCGTCGGTTATTTAAAATTACTGGGTTTTTTTTTTCCTCTCTCGTAATGCTTGCACTTAAAGCGCAGAACAGACGACATCGATGGTGATGCATGCATAACTTCCGTTCAGTGCACGGTGGTGATTGGTTGAAATCGCACGCTGGGCGTGAAAGGACAACTTCTGAGCAACTTTAAACAAAGCGAGTGCCTTGCGAGGGAGTGAAGAACAATCAAAGCTGCATTGTTATTTATATTCGCTCTTTCGGTAAATATACGCTGCCTCCAGAACACTTTGTGAATAAAACTTTATGATAAGGCGCTGAACATAACAGCTCCCGACGATATCTAGCAGTACACTTGATTGTGTTAGGCGAAATAAATGCAACCGCATACAAAGCTTAAAGGAACCATAATGTAGAACATGTTCTCCTAGTTGGGAGGTAGCTCGAATAACACAGTTTAGAGGAACGGGGCAAGGCACTCTCGCAAATTTAGAAAAAAAAAAGTTGAGTAGGCACTGCAGCGATAAAGCGCTGAATGCATCTAACTACACCCACGTGGTATACGCTCCGCAAGAGTGTTGCGACAGCTTTCTAGATCGAGGCCTTTCTTTTCGGTATATGCGCTATAGAACGTGACTCCGAGTTGTGAGATAGTGAGAATGGTGCACCCTAACCTTCGCTGTTTTCGAGCAACGAAGCTTGCGCCAATGAACGCGTATTTCGCTCGGAAAGAGAGTGACATTCGTTTTGACATTCGCTGATGAACTCCGAATGTTTTCGTTCGTATTGATGCGCTTTAAATTTCAACCGTATGTTTTCTTTTGAAGATATACCTCTCAATTTTTATTAGTTTATGCTTTTAGAAACAGATATGCGGACGCTTAGATGTTTTGCAAAACAGTATACAAAAGAAAACTGTGTGAATGACTATTTAAAACAAAATAGCATTTCATGGGCGTACTAGGAATGTAGATGCGCGCACTGAGGTGCCAGTTTATTCATCACAACTTTTTTTTCAGGTGTTTCTGCAGTCATCGGCATACTTTACAGAACGGATCATCATAACAATTACCAGGTACAGTTAACTGCTTTTGCGAAGTAAATTATTTCCACGCAATACTTCACTAGAAAAAAACAGTTTCTGGGTGCGGTTGTAAACGCCAAAATTAAAAAAGGAGCATCAAATGCATGTTCATGTTCATAACCAGTGACGGCCGCACTGCGATGAAAATGAGGTGCAAAGGTGTATTAACAAAGCGAGAAACCACTTATTGAGGCTCAAGTACTTGCTAATTTCAGGCTTATGAGCACGCCACAAATACGTATTTTAAATTTGCATCATTTGTTGTCAGCAAAAACAAGGAGACACAAGGATATACTTCAGTGTTTATTTCATATCAAAAAGAATGAAAACTGCACTTCCACGTGTCGCCTTTCGAAAATGTTAAATTTGTTGATTATTTTGCAGAAAAAACGCCAAGAATGTTCACAAATTAATGAAAACTGTCTTTCCTATGAAATGATAAAGTTATATTGTACCCGCAAAATCTAATTTTATGGACATATCCGCATAGCGTGCCACATAGGTGTATATATTCGTTGTGGATCTATACATGCTGAATTTTGTGTATCGTTAACCACACGTTTCACAGCAGTTCATTGACTAAAAAAAAAAAACAGTGATAGTAGTTAAAAGACCATCCCGGATGACAACATGTCACAGAATCTAACCAGGCGTACATTCCCAGCCAAACGTTCAGAACCCTTCTGGTTTCTTCTGCCTGAAGTTTCTACTGTACCGATGTAGGCACTACCAAGGAGGTTATACTAGAAGTTTTAGTATAATTTCCTTGTGCGTTAAGCACTGCGGCAAGACCCCACTAGCGTGGCGTTCGGATACTTCGCTCGAAGACGGTGGTTCGATACCCAGACGCGGTGCCCTAATTCAGGCAAGGGTTACGCCCAAAAACGCCCGTGTACTCGGATTCACGTTACAGAACCCAAGAAATCTTATTCTGGATCCCCTGTCCTCTTCCTCTACCACTACGACACGCCTCACAATCATATTGTGATTTTGGCGCTGAAAACTTGACAATAGGATGTTGTAGTGGAAATAACTACTGTCAAGGGACATACAGACGGGCTAATAACTCCAAGCTTACTATCGGGCGTGTGGGGAAGCACTGAGTGCAAAAAAAAAGGAAAGAAAAGAAGCTTAATACGTGATGATATTTTTATTACGGCAAATAGGAGGCTGCCAACATTTTTTGAAGTGAAGTAATAACATTTTCTTGTTACTTTTCTTCAATAGGAGGTTCCTGCTCGCTGGAATAGTGTGGACGCTTATGCAGATAGGGGTACAAGTACTTTACAACTTGGCCGTGGAAACTGAGGAACAGCTTGTGGAGAGAGCATTTTCAAAGTTACCACAGTGAGTACCAGCGTGCACCGCGTTTCGAAAATGACACGCTATAAATGCACAATTTCTTTTAAAATACGCGCCTAACCTCAGCCGGGAGGCTTTATTACGAGCAATAATGGGTGTGCTCCAATTCTTAGACAGCACGTAGACAGTCTACGCAGACTGCTTAGAAGACAGCACCGAGCCGATGCTGTCCGAAAATAGGAACAAGTCTCGACGGCTTTTACGCGACGAGGCGCCACCTCGCGTCGAAAAGAGAAAGCCAAAATGAACAAACTTAACAACTGCATTTTCTGGCTTATTTTGTGTTGAAATCTAAAAAAATTAAACGTTACTCACATTGGGCGTCTGGAGAAGCGTCTGCTTGTGTGCAGACGACCATTCGAGCGAGATCCGATCTGTCTGAGCGATTCGATGAGCCGCCCTCTTGTTTAGACAGTCTGCATTATATTTGTCTACGATGCGGTCTTCCCGGAGCTGTCTACTTTGCCGGCTACGTGAGAACTGGAGCGGGACTTAAGATGGCCGCCGTCGATTTAGCTGTCTGTTTAGCCGTCCACGGTATTGAAACACACCCAATATCGAACCAGAGATAAGCAATCAGCCGCGCAAACTTAACAGCCATGCACTTTGCAGGTGGGAGACGGTGACGCTAATCGCCGTTCGGATCATGGGCCAGCTGGCGATGACCCTTGTGGAGATGGCGGTGGTGCTCAACTACTGCACCCAGTGCGAGATGATCATCATCTACCTGCGCGGTGTGGCGCTGAGGCTGCGAGAGAAGCGCATCACCATCCGCGAGGGCATGCACGTCAGTCGCCGCTCACTCGCTCGTACGAGCATCCGCTAGGAACGGAACAGCAGGCGTGACTGACACATACGCTCGGTGCAAACGCTTGCCCATGCCATACGGATGCCGCAAACTATATAGCGACTACTTCCACTCACACTTAAAGCAGACCCTTAGTGCATTTTAATTATAGTCGCTTAAGAGACGCCGCTTGCCTGCGATACATCAGTGCAAGAGAGTCGTGCTAAGTGGTTTCCGTTGCAAGTGCATGTGTGTGTGTGTTTGTGTTTTTTTTTTTTGCTACTAATGTAAATACCACACATTTAAATAACATTCGTCATCCCTTTTTGAAATATTATTTGCCCGAGCTGTTACGTCGCAATCTTTGCTGAAATTTGACAGGAAGTTAAAGTTTTCGGCGGAAAAGCAGCGAAACGTGTCTGTGCGAAAAAACCACAGACCTGAAATACATGTACGGTCTTTACGTTATGAAAATTATCAAACGCAACTGGATGGGGCGCCCATACAAATCTTTCCTGCGCGGAACAGTGGCGTCTGTGGGCGGAGCGTACACTTATTCTTAGGTTGTAATCAACCAATGCTACTGAATAACGCTGACGTTAGTTACATTCTAAGATCTGCAGCTATCGCTTATAAAGGGGCTAGCAAGGGCTTACCAAGCGGTTAGCAAGGGGCTCCCAGATAACCTTAATCGAAGTTTAACCATAAACCAACGCACTACATGACGACACGCCGAAGTACATGTTGCCACACTGATGTTTGTATTCGGCTGAATTACTTAATCAGGCAACATTACTTAAACAACTTTTGAAGCCACGGAGCTGGATTGAAAAATTCCGGTTAGAAAGCTGTATATTGATTCGAAAAACTTGCACTCAGAGAGTTTTAAGTATTAGTGCCTTTCTACTTACTGCAGATGCCCAGGAAATAGAAAAAAAAATTCTGCGCGAGATACCCACTTGCGTGCCGTGATGTTGCAGTGAGGAACGAATTAGCCTGCCGGGGAGTTATCGCACAGTCGAAAGCCGCGCCTTGTTCAGGGAATTTGAGAGCTATGCCTATAGGCAGCACTCAGTTGAAACTCTTAGTGGTTGTGAAAACAAAGTTATTGACAAATAAGCAGGGGCATGAATTCACGAGGTCGGTCATCATCTTACATCACAGGCGTGTAATATTAGCAAAGACGGCAAGCAAAACACGAGCTATTCTTAAGCACGGGAACCTTGGTTTTGTGAATGGGTGTGGCATTTCTTACACTAGACCATCTTCCAAGAAAAGACGCTGCCAATCGTGAAAACAGCTTTGACAATAGTATCCTGCAACTGGCCAGTGACAAAGCACTCTCATAAAAACATCTCCCTGACCTGCGGAGCTAATCACACATACCAGGTCATTGCAACTTAATTTGTGCATGTGTGGCTGTCATCGACGACAACAAGGGCACCTCCTCAAGTCACGATTGAGACCTTCGGAAGTTGTACACGAACAAAATGGAACGAGGAGTGTAACGAGAGACTGTTGGCTTCATCTCAATGAAAAAGCAGTCTAGTAGGTGTGAGCTATTTCGTAAGATAGTCTTGATTCATAGGAGACGGTTGTCATTAGCTAGATATATAGCATCGTCATTAGAAAAACTTGGGCACTTAAATTGAGGAGACAGCAGAGGTGCAGCAAATGCCGTTTCTCAAAACAATACGTTGAAAAGAAAGAAAGAGGAAAGAAAGAAAGAAAGAAAAAAGAAAGAAGGAAATAAATAAAGAAAAAAAGAAAGAAAGAAAGAAAGAACAGAACGAAAGAAAAAGAAAGAAAGAAAGAAGAAAGAAAGGAAAGAAAGAAAGAAAGAAAGAAAGAAAGAAAGAAAGAAAGAAGAAAGAAAGAAAGAAAGAAAGAAAGAAAGAAAGAAAGAAAGAAAGAAAGAAAGAAAGAAAGAAAGAAAGAAAGAAAGAAAGAAAGAGAACAAAGAAATAGAGCATTATAGACGCATTTACGGCATTAGTTCAATATTATTAGCGCAGTAAATTTATTTTCCTTTAATTTTCCTTTGTCCTCGTTTGCAGGAGCTTTTGGCAAGCAATGACTACATCAGCCACCTAAACCGCAATCTCGGAAAGGTTACCGCTCTATTCATCATCAACTTTTCAATTCATGCGCTCATTGGTACGTTGTATTTGAGCACTGTGTGCATCTGCGCTTTTTGAACTAGTTGTGCCACTAACCTGCGGCAATATTTCGTTTGCTTACAGGTATATTTTTATTTCTTCTGAACCACGACAAAACACCTATCGTACTGGCCTACAGGGCAGCTTACCCGGTCGTGTGGATAATCGCCATGTTTGCTTCACTCTATCAGGTTAGCTTTTTTTTTTTCATTGTCAATATAATCCCCTATATCTTCAACTTCAGGTCGAAGAACTTTATCTGAAATCTCTACTTCTTACTCAACCACGTAATGCGCCAAATGTATCTGCCATATGCCTGCGAATTTCTAGATTTGATACGTTTGCATAAGCTGTTCGCGACTGGGTATCTTCATTCGTGAAAACTATCGTAGCAATCGTTACATGCTTCGACACGATGCGCACCGCACTGATTTTCTCAGCTAATTTTTATTCTAGCCTTATTTTACAGTCCAAGGTTAGTATTTTCTATATGGATTTTCGCAAGAATCGAGCGTTGGTCTGTACGTGCAACAGCCATATTACACTTCCTTTCGACATCGTCGTCATCACCGCCACCATCATCATTATTCTTCCATCTATCCACCCATCCATTCTTGTAGCTATATAACTTACTACAATAAACCAGGTGTTGTCTGCTAACTCACGAACAACTCGGGTTTCAAGCATCGTAAACATCAAAAGCCCCTAACATGCACGCAGTTCAAGGTCATAAACAATGCATAAAAAAAACTGCGATCATCGAGTAAGTTTCAAGAACGAGGTAAAGCTACACCTTATAAAGGATCATACACCATGCTCAAAACTGTGCTCGTGAAAGACAACATAGAAAAACCTTTTCATTATTATTGGGGGGGGGGGGTGTAAATACCACAATCTCATAAGACATGCCGTAAAACAAGACGACAGAAAATGTAATATATATATACATTTTTTCGCTTTCATTAACTTTACATAAATATGTTTATTAAAATGCTATTCGCACCTAGCAATATGTTGTCGCCACATCCACGGGGGATCAAATCTGAGACCTCGAGCTCAGCAGCACAATGCAATCTTTAAGCCCCGGTTAACGGCTGCGGAAGATTAATTATCAGTTAGGAACAGACTCTTCGACGTCATAACAAAATACACTTCTTGAGGTTTACATGGAATTGTGTGTGTTAAAGGCGAAACGCAACCTTCTCCAAAAGACGCGACAAAAAAACAAAGAAAATGCCCTTCAACAAACAAAACAATTTATAACTTTGCAATGATAACCAAAGCTCGCGTTGTTTTCATCCGCAGGCTTCCCGCGTGACGGCTGTGGGGTTGAAAATCTCGAAGATCAGCATCGAGTCGAGAGTATTCGGCTACCAGGACGTGCAAGGCTTCGATCTCGACTCTTTTGTTCTATTCGTGGGGAACATGAAACTCAGGGTGAGTCACGCGCAACAGGGACTGAGGCAGGCGCGTAGTCACCAATTTTCAGCGCAGTGTGCTCTGACTGTGGGCTCCGACAGAAGTTCAGTTCCATTTATGGCTTGACATCGACCACGTCGTAGCATGCATATCCTTGCATACATCTTCGCTACGGTATAAGACCGTTGCGGAAACGGCCTTGGAAAGTTAGTTATGAAATTAGGCGTTTGGAAAGTAATTGCATGTGCGGGGAGTTTCAGTCCAGCTCAGGGGTCAGCAACCTTTTGAGGCGATGGGCTGAGTAGATTCAAGCCGAGATGGCAAAGACCGCAAGCCAGAGCGCAGGAGACGTACGGATTGAAGCCACGGGCAAATAAAAAACGAGAAGGGCTGACTTTTGGCTTTGTTGGTACGACATATCTAAAGTGATTTAGCACAGATTTGTGCTAGACGGGACAAGATGAACAGGACACACACTGGCATTAACTTTCAACAAATTAAGGATTATTTGTTGAAAGTTAGCGCCTATGTATGCTATGTTCCTTCGTCTTGCGCCCAGCGAAAATCTGCGCTAAAGCTTTTGAACGCCAACAAGTTGAGAAAAATGTAAAAAAAAACAAAAAATACAACCAAACAGGAACATAGAAAGAATGTTTCTTTTCAGCACACATGTCACAGAGTTGCAATTTCCGAAGACGCTAAAGGCAAAACACATTTCATGTCAAAATTGCAACGCTGGCCTTCATATGGGAGGTGACAAACCGAAGGGGGAGAGTACGGACGTCTTGCCGGGGGCCGCATTATGCCACTCCCCGGGCCGCAGCTAGCCGAGCCCTGGTCTTGCCGAATGGGCGCGTTCAAGCGAGGTGTCGACTGTATATGGCGCAGCGGCTCCGTCACTTTGTTGTCTCGTGCCTCTGATAAGCCCATTTAATAAATCCGGGCTGCATTGGATCGCCGATTTGAAGTCTTCAATGCTAGCTAATATCGGATGAACTATCATCAGTTTGGAGCACGTTGCAAACTGAAATGTTACTCGTACACTTCTTTCGTACACACACTTGACTTATATCACCCGTTTATTGAGCTTCATGCGCTTGTTACCTTGAGGTGCACTTCAGATGCACCTACGTTGAAACACCTTTTTTGTTTGTTTTTTTATAGGCCAAGATGTTCGGAACGGCGATATGGCCATCCACTCTGCTCTTCTTCTTCGGTGGCACGGCACTGGTTGTGTACCTGCTTGTTATCTGCGACGTGCTCACCAACCCCGTCATGGGTTCCTTCCTCTGAGCTACAGATCTCGCACGGTTTTCCAGCTTCACAACTTAACACAAGGGATGGAAGTGCAAATGAACTTATACCGGGGTCAACGAGGTCGACCACGCTTCTGCTCTCCGGCGCTACCTCGCTGTCGTGCCAGCACTTGTGCGCATAAGCCAGTTTTACCATCTCTGACGTTCACTAATATGTCTCTATACATACCGAAATTTCGCGATTTATCGCACAAGTTGGGCATGTCATTGCATCGTTATCTTTGTTATAGAGATGACACGACACTTCGTGGGTTTCGAATGACAAAAAGTGAGCGATCATTTTTTTTTCATTCAACATGCTCGCTGAGTGTTCTGCACAGGCGCAGAAGTGTTTTAGTGCAGTGGTTGCACAGATACAAAGTACTATATATTCACCTGCAATGCCCTGTGTAAGCCTAATAGCCGTGAGATCGAATCCCCGCTGTGTCGGTCGCATTTTCGATGGAGGCGAAAATGCTGTAGGCCCGTGTGCTCAGATTTTGGTGCACGTCAAAGAACCCCAGGTGGTCAAAATTTCCGCATCCCTCCACTACGGCGCCTTTCATAATCATATCAGATGGTTTTGGAACGTTAAACCTCATATATTATGATATTTATTATTACCTAATAACTGTCCTATGAATAATACCTTAAAACACTCCTAGCCAGGTATTTGCACTGCAGACGAGCAAGCGTGGTTTACCGACCACGCAGCAATGATAGCTTTCGCAACGTGTCACGCCAAGTACGCCACGCCACAAACTCGAAAAAATAAATGCTCGTGCACCCTTGGCACGCGCGACGTCGCACTTGAGGCGCCCCCACGTTTACGTGCATTGCATAAATAGAGAGTTTTAGTACTGCGTACGTTGCGTACGTGGCTGCGTTGCGTACGTAAGGACGCCACGTTCTGCGTAGTGCGCATGCGCAGACCGCAACGCGCACGTATCGCGTTACGTACGCAGCCACTACGTACGCACGCATGAGATGCGTGCGTGCGTACGAAAGAGGTGATCGCGCCGCTCTCGAACAAGTTCACGACAGCGCGAGGCTTCGTTTTGCAAAATGGCAGCATCGAAGGCAAGCACCACGTTCCTTCCTCCGTGGCAAGCACCGACCGGCTCCGTGGCTTAAAATATGGCCATAATCTGGCTATAACACTAGGATTGGCTCACATTGGCGGTCAACAACACGTACTTCTATTTTGATCTACCAGATGGCGCTACACACTTCACGCTCGTTACGTACGCGGGTACTACGGCGTACTAAAAGCCGATTAGGGGCAAACGACGCCATGTAACGCAAGGCGCTTGCGTGATGCGTACGTAGCACCATTCCGCAGTACTAAAACTCTCTAATAGCAAACAGCAGTTGCGTGCGGGCGTAATGCAAAAATCTCGCTCAACTGCCTCAGGAAGATTAAGCAAATATGCCGCGCAACAACAATAGGCATAGAAACGATGAAGACCAAAAAAGTCGGGATAGTAAGGAAAAGGGAGAAGATTGACTCGTGTCTCTTGTGCGACGTAACGTCACTGATAGAGGCAGTTACGGAGGAGGGCATCTGCTGCAAGGACGGCCGTTCAGCAAAATGCTTAATTTTCTTTAATATCGACTCCTACTTAACCAGTTTAGAAATATAGTTGCGCTAGAGCGTCCCCCCCTCCCTCCCGCGACGCTTTGCTGTGAACGCTATGTGCCACTGTATAGAGCATTTCAAAACACAACATAGCAGACACACGCACAGCATATTGAGCCCGTTTTTGCACTTAATGGTGTGACGAGTCTTCATTCCTCAATATGTTTATTTCTTGTTCTTAAGTGCTCATAAGCGCCAGAACTAGCGTAATTTGTTTGTTCTCAATACGCTTATGTCTAATCACTCGTCATAGTTAGTCTATGTTGTTTTGTTGAAATATTAAAATTGATTTTGCTCTTCTTTTACCCATGTTGAACGGAAGCCTGTACCTGTTGCGCTTACTGCTTGGACTTGATTCACGGTGCCAATTGAATCAAACGTTACTGGTTTAAATTTTGCAAAATGCAAGTGTGGATATGTGTGTCGTTTATAACAGCGGAGCTGCTAAAAAGTATACCATGTAATCTGTTCGACATGAACAAGAGAAACTGGCACCACATCGCGTTGTCTGGCAACCACTCAACCTAGAACTAAAGGTGAGCACGGGCTTCGGGTAACCCAAGCCCGGCCCAGTCCACGGGCCGAGTTCGGTTGGGCCATCGTCGTCTTCTCACCTCAGGCCCGGGCCGGGCTCGGGCTTCACTGTTTCTTGTCGGGCGGGCCGTGTCAGATGGAAAGCCCGAATTAAGCGCAATATAAAGACGTGTCTGAACTGTTTTCGACTGCGTTGGTTTTTTTTTTTTTTTTTTGCGACAGCCCCCGCCCCATTTCAAGGCTCGCGTTTGCTTTAAACAATTTAACGCAAGGTGAGGGGGTGAAGTCACACAACATGAGCTTTGCGATTGTCTATACATGGGGTAATCACTTTTCCTACATCTGAGGTACTAAACTTTTGGGAGAACGATCGGCGTAAGTATTCTAAACTTGATATGCTTCCGAAAAGTATATTGGAAATATATCAGCAACCAGTACGAGACGCAGACGGACGTTCAGTTGGACGGGATAAAGGTGACGCAGGAGAGCCGCACTTCACTGGACAGCTTATTTTATCAACACTTGTAAGTGAATTGCATATAAAGACTGTCATAAGTCCTTTTCTTATGTTTCACTTTGGCATGTTGAATAAAATGACACGTTATCAGAAAACGACATCTCGTCTACGTATAGCAAACCTTCATAACGTCTGGCCGAACCACTGGGCCGGGCCCGGGCTTTAATTTTTATACATAGGGTGGGCAGGGCAGACTCGCAGCTTTCTAGCGACTGACTCAGGCGGGCCTTCAACGCAGTTAGCATGCCTGGGCCGGGCTCTTAAATTAGGCCTGGGCACAGCTCTACCGTGGAGCCGATCCACGAGATTGAAGTAACTAGAAGAATATGAATGGGGTGGAGCACATTTGGCAAGCACTCTCAAATTATGACAAGTAGATTGCCACTATTCCTCAAAACAAAGGTATATAACAGCTGTATCTTGCCGGTACTTAGCTACGGAGCAGAAACCTGGAGACTTACAAAGAGGGTTCAGCTTAAATTGAGGATGACGCAGCGAGCAATGGAAAGAAAAATTGTAGGCGTAACCTTAAGAGACAAGAAGAGAGCAGAGTGGATTAGGGGACAAACGGGGGTTAAGGATATCATAGTTGAAATCAAGAAGAGGAAATGGACATGGGCCGGGCATGTAGCGCGTAGACAGTAAAACCGCTGGTCATTAAGGGTAACTAACTGGATTCCCAGAGAAGAGAAGCGGGTTAGAGGGAGACAGAAGGTTAGGTGGGCAGATGAGATTAAGAAGTTTGCGGGTATAAATTGGCAGCAGCAAGCACAGGACGGGGTTAACTGGCGGAACATGGGAGAGGCCTTCGTCCTGCAGTGGACGTAGTCAGGCTGATGATGATGATGCTGATGATGATGTAACCGGGGGCCCGCACTGAGGAGCGGAGTCAGCCATAGCCTCGGGGAGATGTCGAGGAGAGGAGCCCGGAGCTGTTAACAATAACTTTCACTTACAATATTTACATTTTTATGGTAGCGTTGCTACTTGATGGGGGTAACACCATTGAAGCTCTCGATGGAAGCTTGATGGTAGCTTCTGGGAGCTTGTCAGGAGCGTCTAGACGCTCGAGCTTTATGCCCTATCCTTCCCAGAAATCCCTGTGGGAAAAAAACCATGGAAGCCATCTTCACCACAGTCCAATCCAATAGCCATCTTCACCTCCGCCCCCAAAAGGGGAAGGCGAAACACCGCCTCCTTCCCAAAGCACACCCCGTTCGTCCCATGGTGAGGTAAAAACACTGCACAACGTTCACGACACAGCAAACCGCGAAGACGTTGAGTCATACGTGCAAATCAACTCTGTAGTCCGTTGCAGTGATGAGGATATGGCAACGGGCAGACCATGGTTTGTGGAAACGATTTGATGATTGATTGATTTGTGGCGTTTAACCTCCCAAAACCACCATATGATTATGAGAGACGCCATAGTGGAGGGCTCCGGAAATTTCGGCCAACCGGGGTTCTTTAACGTGCACCCAAATCTAAGCACACGGGCCTACAACATTTTCGCTTATGGTTTGTGAAAACGGTGGCATGAATGCACCACGGAGAAAGTGAGAAATGGACCGGAACACGAATCTCAGATGCTTGGCTCATTGTCCTGGGCACCTTGACGTAAAAGGCAAGCCGCCTCGACGGCTGACAGCTCCTCCTAATCCACCAGTCAGTCAGGCGTGCCCAAAGGGTTTCACGAAGGGTGCCGACGGCCCTAAATCGAAGAACGACTTTCGTGTTGTCGACGCTCTTGGTACATCTCTGGCAGCGCTGACCCAGAAGAAATCAGGATAGGGTCAGCCGCAACGTCTCATGCGTCCAAGCGGCGCCAAACCAGGGAGGCCGATCATAATATCGCTAAAGGTGCACTTAAATAGCCACGTGTGGCAGGGGTATAACAGGCACAGATGATCCTGCTTTGTTCGCAACAGCATTTTCACTAAGATTGTGACCATGTGACAATTACTTTTATGACTGAACCGTAAGCGTAGTTTAGTACCACGCTAGATATTCTGTATTTTCTCATAAGCGCTACTTTCGTCACTAACAACCAGCGGGAAATACACAAAACATATTGGCCCCTCTAATTTCAGCGCTTCATACGCGAGACTAAACGAGCTAGTATCCGCGTTCTGCGCAGACATAATTGTCCTAAGTTCTGAATCTGCTGTGCGTGGCTGAGCTACATAAGACATTGTAATCGAACTTTTGCATAACTCATGGAGGAGCGAAACCAAAATAACAGCAGTGATCATGAGCAATGAATTTGAAATACTACGAAAGAAAATAACTTATGGTGTTTTATGTGCCAAAACAAAGCTATGATAATGAGGCAAAACGTAATGGGACACTAAAGAATAATTATGACCTTTCTTAAATATCAAGTGCACTTTTTTCTTGCATTTCAGTCTCATCGAAATGAGGCTACCATGGCCAATAAAATAACCTGCGTCCACGAGCTTATCGGTTAAACACAGTGGCTGA